TTTTGATCGTTTATTTTTTACCTGGGCTGCTAAAGAAGGAATCTTTTGATGAATAATCCATTGAGAATCCACAACACCAATCTTCTCATGCGCAGGCTGTTATATTGTATAATGAAAATGATTTTTTTAGTTTCCAAAATGTTATGTGAAAATATATATGACAATACAAAGTTACATTAGTATATTAACCTCGACACATTTCCTTAGCGCAAAGTCAAGACCCCAACCATGAACCAAGTCATTCTGAAGCATATGCCATACACAGCGCCATGAATCTCTTGAGAAAACCGGAGCCATAATCTCTATAAACCTAACAAGAAACATTGTAGTAAACTATGAGGTCAAAGAATATTTTTAGTAAAAATTAGTTAATAAAAAGAATATTTTTAGTATGAATGAAATGTGATCATTACCCTGCACATGGAGGTAAGTGAGGGTCCTTGCAATGGCCTGGTGTCACATCTTTGACTTCTCTGGAGAAAGAAATTGTCAAGAACACAAAATTTTCTGTAGTTACTTCTCTACATTTTTGGTAAGTATTAGGTACTTACTTGTGAACTTCGCTTCCTGGTATTCTCTTTGTTATCCTCCATGTGATTTTCTTTGTTGATTCAACAGCGGGTTGCGAGATTTCTAGACCGTACTTCTTTACAATCTTGATGTACCTACAAGATGAGCAGACCTTTTTAACATTTTCTTAATAAAATTCTTGGAGTTTTAATAGTAATAAATGAGAAGAAAACAGAGAGACTCACTCTTCAGCATCAAAATTTTCAACGCCAAGATCTTCATCCCAAAGAAATATATATTCATATGGTGCTATAATGTCAGGATGCAGAAACCTTTTAGCATACCACCTTCAAGGGTAACATATGTCAGGTTCAGATGTTGGGGTCAATGAAAATGTAGAAAGATAGTTAAAATGAGGAAGTGTTTTGTTACCACTTGGTTTGCTTAGGTACACTAACGTGTATTGCACGTCTAGACCATTCAAATTCATCGTATTCCGAGGTTCTTCCATCGTAATGAAACAGAACAATAGTGAAGTTATCTGAGAACTGTTGAGAGGGAGAGAGAGAGAGAGTCAAAGAGCTTAGCTTCTACTTCTGCTGAAAGATTAGAAGAAAAGGAAAAGAGAGACATACTTTCTTGATGCAAGCATCAATGTTTTTTCTCTGTTCATAAGCAACGGTAAAAGCAACAAGATACTTAGGCTTCACCGCCGGTAAATCCTATAGAAACCGATAAAAACATGATTTAGTTAAGTCAATGATTCATAGATGTCTAAAAGATCATTACAAAAACAGGAAATATAATAATACTATACATCTTTAGGCAACCCCCACAATCTTCTTAAGTAGAGATCTGATTCAGCTTCAACAAAACTTGGAGGCAACATCTCTGCACCTCGGGGATTCGATGGAACCCATATCTGCAGAAATTCAACAGCTCTTTGAATGTAACTAATCAGATCAATCATGTTTCAAATGATGAAACAAAACACACCTTATGAGATGATGCATCACTTGAACGAAGCCCTTTTGATGGACTTCTTCTAGATGATATGTCTTGTTTCTCAACTTCTACATATATAGTATTAACAGAAGGAAGTATGCTTGAAGGAAAATTCATCTGCACAATAAGTTTTAAGACATGTTTAGAAATCACACCAAAACACTAGTTCTTGTAAGTAAGTAAAATTTAAAGAAGCTTACTTTAATTAGTGACAAAGTAGGGAAAGATATGCCTAATAAAAAACCGATAACTATTCCTGCGAATGTTGCTATTAGAAACATTATGCCACCATTTGTATTCTTACTAATCGAACTGCAGAAAAAAAGGAAAAAAAAAACAATATATGAAACATTATCTTCAACGTTGTTCTTCCAAATTGAAAAAAAAAAGATTATTTAATTCATTAATGTTTGGTTAAAGTCACAAACCAGCGTAGCGAGTTTTCTGATCGGTTTGCCATGTCTGGAAGCTGGTTAAATTGACAAGAAATAATTTCTTTTATTGGGGGTTTCAGTCTCCGAGACTTTAGTAGCTGTATCATGTTAAAAAAAAAGATATGAGATCAAGTAAATAAAAAGCTTTATCTTTAAATTCAGATCAAACTCTCAAAACTACTAACTCTTGCATAAACAGATTCACCAGAAAACATATTCATTTTAGACATTTAGCAAGAACTGAAATCAAGAAAAATCTTTAAGAAACCAAATACTCGTCAAGCACGATTGATATTGTTTTCAGTTAAATAATAGTTTATAGCTTTCAATCATATAAAATTTACGTACCCGTAATCAACAAAGTAATTAAGACAAAGAACAAGATCACAAGTTATAAATTAAACAAGGAGTCGAAGCTGACAGAGACAGTAATTTCTAGATTCAGACACAATAAAGAGTTAACAAGCTAACAGAATACACGTTAACTCTTTGAAACGAACATTAACTTTTGATCAAGAATTAACATTTTACCCAAACTTTTTTAACAAAACTTTTGATGAGGAAGTTAAAAAAGAAAAAGAAACTTTTCATTATATTGGATTAGAAAGATTTTGAGATTAAACAAACGTTTAACATAATCAAGCAGATAAACTTACCAGGAGAGGATTAAAAGAAAAAGAATTTAAGAAGTCTTCATGTTCTTCAAAAAAAAAAAAGAACTTGATGAATTTGCTGAAAGGTATAATGAATGAATGTTTGTTCTTCGCGGGTTTAATAAAAACGAGAGAAAAATATATAAACAATGTGAAAAAAAAAAGAAAATGGAGAAGAAGTTGTCATCAGGTGTAAGGAAGGACACGGGATTGCGTGAGAGAAGGAGTTGACTTTTCAGACGGTCGTGGAACGAGGGTGCTTCTCACGAAGCAGCCAGACTGGACGACGGTGTAGTTTTAGTCCACGTTGTGATATGTCATTGGATCATTTTGAGATTCATGGGTCATGTGCCTCTTTAATTTGAATAATATTTTTTTACTTTCTTGAATGACATTTTTTTGTTCTTTTGGTTAAGTGGAAATGATGAGAAGCTTATGTAGTTGATGCAATTATAGGGAAGATTGGTGCGATTTGTATTATTTTGTAACCATCATTTTGAGATAGTGGTGAGCATCTTACCAAAGACTTAACTTGTATAACTTGATATACCTCTTACAATTTACACATTTTACCAAACACTTCCACTTCATTGCTATATAAATATATTAGAAATTTTCAAAATAAAATATGATATGTAGTTGCGGTTTCATTTTCATGAGCTAATTTTGGAGATGTAGACAAAAAAAGAAAGAAATAAATTAAGAGACCAGTAATATAATATATATATAAAGAGTCCAAAAAGGTTGATTAATCACCATTTTCTTGCCCAAAAGAAAAATCCCCATTTTGCAGAGGAAACTTTAGTCAAATGATTGATCTGGTGCAAGCAAATTTAATAGGAAGAGGAGGATCTGAAAACGCTCCGCTGTTTATCTGCTGAAAGATCCAACGATTTGCCGTCTCAGTGAAATGCACGCCGTCCCAGTTAACTCTTAACGACACGTCGTTACAAGAGTTAGCAAGCACAGTCTCTTTCCCTTTCACCATATATTTAACTCCACATTTGATTAGCTTGTTGAAATTATGCTTCCCACCACCATGTCCACAACACGCAACCAAAGGATCTTTAAAACCTAAAACCATAAGAAATAAACCGTTAGAACCGGTCTAAACCGAGACTAAGAGTCTCTCGTCACCTACGGTTTATATTTACATACCAAGTTTCTTAGCTTGAGTGATAAGAGTAAGCTTGATAGAGTAGACATCAACATAAGTGAATGAAGCTTTAGACAACTCTTTTCTTAACCCAACCACTCTTCTTTTGAGCTCAGAGTTGTAATACCGAGCAATCTCGTTGCGAGGAATCGCACAACCGTGCTTATCAATCTGAGATTCCGGTACAGACCACCGGTCCAAGACATAAGGTAAACAGCCAATTGGACCTGTGTTATGTATCCAAAATCTTCTTCCTCCATTCTTATACACCTTCTACAGAAACCAAAGACAGTAACATTAGTCAAACAAAGTAAACTATCTAGTGGATAAAGACTATTCCTTTTGCCTTACACGAATGGCATCGGACAACTGATTATGAACATCTGGAACATAAGCCTTGATTTGATCTGTTGTCATGTTGAGTTTTAAACCAGTAGTGAGATCGTTCTGACCAATGTCGAATGTGTACAATGCTTTAGAGAAGTACTCTTTCCTCGGAAGTAAATGCTCAAACACGCCACCTATGTTTCAACTCAAAGACAAAAAGATCAAATTTACAAAAACATTATGATAATTATGCGTACATGTTACTTAAAGGTTGAAGCTTTGAGTTACCTCGACTGCGAATGAGTTGTGATCTGGTGACGAAATCAGAGAACTGAACCAACTGAACGTCGAGGGAGACAGGACTCGCACCACTCTGAGAGATGGTGGTGTTTGGTGGACGGACGGTGGATCCAGCGGTGGCGAAATTAGCACCATGGCTGAAGTTTGAACCGATGGAGTCTAGGAAAGCGTTTAGGTATGGTAACCTTAACTCCTCAGCTGATTTCAACAAAATGGGTAGTGAGAAAAATTCAGTAAAGATTCGAACTTTATAATCGAAGATAAGGGAATGTGTGGTGAGTGAGTAAGTAAGCCCACCTATGAAGTCAATAATGAGTCGACCATCTGAGAAACGACCGGAAGGGGAGTGGAAGAAGGTTTCGCCATTAGGGTAAGGGGCTTGTCCGAAGGCAGCGGAGAGACCTCCTGTGTCGGAATTCGAGTCGCCGAAGTTGAAGATCGCTGGGAAACTACAGGTTGGAGAGCAAACTCGAGGATGTGTGAGAAATGATGATAATACGACAAACGTAATCAAGAACAGTTGAGTTTGCATTTTTGTTTTCTCTTTTTTTGGTTCGTCTTTGCTACTTCAGGTTAAAAAGCTCTCACTTGGCTCTACGTTGATAAGAGCCAAAAAGAGGGAGAGCAAGTGTACTATTCTATTGATATAAAATAGTATAGTCAATGTTTACTACGCTAGTCCTGGCAGAACTCATGTGGACTACTAGGTCTTTGTTTATGTTAAAATGGTTGAATCACAATAGCATCTACATTACAGATTATTAAAGTGGAATCAAAGCATCTATATAGACAAGTAAAAGTATGTGCCAAATAAATAATTAAGGGGGAGGCCACGAGCAAAGAGACGAGAAGCGGACTGGACGCAGAGGCACGAAGAGTAGAGAACCCACAACGAATAGATAGGTTGTCCATATACTACTATACGAGCGACCAACGATCATGGCTCTATTGGAGACACAAAGAGAAGTGGAGAACCCACAGAATTAGAGAGATCCCCATAAACTAGACGAGCCGGCAACGATTATGCCTATAGAGGTCACGAAGAGGAGTAGAGAGCCCACAACAAATAGATAGATGTCCCATAAACTAGACGAGCCACCAACGACCAGGAACTACATGAAACTATCTATAATTGCTTGCACAGGGATCTTTCTCTTTTTCCCCTGAAAAGTGACAGAGACATTGGTTGCTCATGAAGGGATGTGTTTTGAGTTCCACTAGCCAAAGTATCAGTAACGTGTATATTTCCCAATTCCATCACAAGTTCTATAGACCGGTGGGTAAACCCAAGTATCAATGATCCTGCATCATTTACCAGGATCAATAAACGATATAAGACCCAAATATAACATTTGAATTTTACCAAATGTTCGACCTCTGATTTCTGTAGAGATCAATCGCATACCTGACGCTTTTTGCAAATTTTGTCGTTCATTACGATAAGCATAAAGTAGCACATCTCAAATTGTCTCAAATCAACCAAGCACAAGGTTTCCATACGGACCAACATATCAAAAGGAGAGCACTTTTAAGAACATAGTCGAGGACCAAAACAGAGACACATCTTCTTTCTTGAGCTATCCAACAAATCCATTGACGAACCATAGACCATCCAGCGTAACTTTAACTTCCCACTTGAGAGCCGAAAGCAGAAACCTTCCACTTCTTTCACTGCAAAATAAGATGTGAAGCGTCTTCAACTTAATAATAACTTTAATGATATGATAGAAAAAGTTGAATAACCTAAAAGCATACATACCATTTGGAAGAAATTTAGTGAAAGCCTCCAGCTCTGGGGCGCTCGTATGGAGCACGACTGTGCCTCTCCCCTCCTGGACCTCCACGGCTCCCACCATCCCTGCTACGTCCTCCAGAGCGATCGCCATTGCGATCAGGTCCATAGCGATCCCTACCGCCATCTCTTCCACCATCCCTACCATACCTATCTTCCTTAGCACCATACCTGTCATCCTTTGAGCTGTACCTATCATCCTTAGCACCGTACCTGTCATCTTTACCACTGTACCTATCATCCCTGGAGCTGTACCTTCCCCCACCACCTCTACCGGACTCATCAGGACACTCCCTAGCAAAATGTCCAGGCTTGCCACATTTAAAGCAATCTCCACCTCCTGAACCTCGCCCACCAGAGGGACGGCTACGGTCACGGTCATACCCACGATCACGGTCACGGCTGCGGTCACCATCATGATCCCGATCCCTGCCTGACCCACCCTGAAGTGGCTGAGCTTTATCAACAGTTATAGTTCGCCCATCCAAATCCATCCCATTCATCGCAGCAATAGCTTCGTCCATAGCTTTCTTCTCATCAAAAGTAATGAACCCAAAACCACGAGAACGCCCAGAGAACTTGTCAAGTACCACCTATTATCAGAGATAAAAGGTTATGAGTTTCAAGGCAAAATTAAAGAAGTAAATAAGAATTCAAAATTTACTAAAAAAGCAGCATCAACATCTCAGGTATCAATGCAGATAGACACTAAAACATGATAAATAAGATTACCTTGGCTTCAAGGAGGTGACCATACTTCTCAAAGGCATCTCTGAGACCACGATCAGAAGTTGACCACGCAAGGCCACCAATGAAGCAGCGGTACTCAACCTCTTCTGACATCTTCTTCTACAACACACTGCCAAATTTTTGTTTGAAGACGACAAATAAATACGACTCCCCGAGAATCCAGTAAGCGTCATCATAGTGAAGGGAGCTAAACAAAGAAACTTATAACAGCAGATCCTCAAGTATACACAAGGAGAAGACAATGATTCACGAACCGAATCTGATATTTTTCTCTACCATAATAGAAACACATCAGGATATCTATGAAGTTATCACATGTATATATGAAGCTAATTTCAATTAAAACAGTAAATCTAAACATCATAATTGTACTACGAAGCTTGGGCAAACCATAAATCACAATCGGAAACTTAGACATACAGTCGAATCAATACAAACAAAGTAAGAAGAAGCGATAAACCGTACCAGAGAGAGCGGAGAAGATGAGATCGGATCGTGATTCGCTACTTAACCCTAATTTTCAGAGAAGACGAGAAGCAGGCTAACACACACATCTGAAGGCTAAAGTCCTATCGTCTTATTCAATATCTCGCCGGGGTACTTTCGTCATTTCTTTTAGTGTATATTAGGCCGTCTTAATAATGGGCTTCTAATGGGCTTATAATGGGCCTTTAAAGAGGGTTTTACGAGAGGTTTTACTCGCCGTCGACGCCTCTTCTCCGTCTTCATCTTCTTCTTCGCAAGTCTCCTAGGGTTTTGGATTTGGGAAAAAAAAAAAAAAAAAGAGATGTGGTTCCTATGCGTCTTCTACCACAGGCTACTAGACTTCAGAAAGCCAGAGGTTGAAGCTTTAGCCGAACTCTTCGGAGAAGAAGACTCTCCCCTCCAATGGCGTCTCCCTGAACATCACCATAACGACACTCCTTTCCACTTCGTTCAGCTTTCTTCCGAAGAAATCGCACAGAACATCGCCAAGAGAAGTATGATCCTTTCTTTCTTACATTTCTTCCTTAAAGTTTTGATCTTTCTCAAAAAAGAATTGGTGTTAGTGTAGGCATATTGGTGAAAGGAATGTATGAGCTTTGGGGTGAAGGAACTTGCTACGAAGAGCTTAAAGACTCCATTGAAAGGTTCCCTGATTCTCGGAAGCTCCCGTTTCTCACTTCTGACTCCACTTTTAAGATCTCTGTTGAAACGTTTGGAAAGGCTTTGACTTTCGATGAGCAGAGGGAAAGAATCCATTCACTTACTTATATCCCCTTTGAGGTTTAATATACTTTCTTTGTTTTAAGTCTCTTTTTTAGGTGTTTTGTTTTTTTCTTTATATTAATGTTTTTGAGTATTGTAGGGGAAGGTTAATTTGAAGAAACCAGATCATAACTTTTTTCTCATGGAGATGGATGAATCTGAAGAGAGCAATGGGCTTCCACCTATTGTTCAGAGAAGAATCTTTTTTGGGAGGGAGGTTGGTTTTGCTGATAGGAAGCTTTTGCCGACTTTTCAGTTGAAGTCTCGGACTTATCTTGGTCCAACTGCTATGGACGCTGAGATGGCGTTTTTGATGGCTAATCAAGCTAAGGCTGCGTCTGGGAAACTTGTGTATGATCCTTTTGTTGGTACAGGGAGCATTCTTGTTTCTGCTGCTCGTTTTGGTGCAATGACTATGGTTTGTTACCTCTTTTAGTTTTTCGATTGATACACGCCTTCTTGGATCTGGAACTGACAGAAGGGTTATTTTATTAGGGTGCAGATATTGATATTAGAGTAGTACGTGATGGACGTGGTCCAGACTGTAATGTTTGGAGTAATTTCAAGCAGGTTGGTGCTGTAACTTCTCCTGTTATGTTTCTTTCTTTTATTTTGATATCTCTGATGCTTACATCTACTATTGCGTATGTAGTATGGATTACCTTCGCCAGTTGCTTTGCTTAGAATGGATAATAATGTTCCTCCTTGGCGTTCCGGGTTGAAGGAGGTAATATATATACTCTCTCTTTGGTCATTATCTTCTCTAGGAGTTTGAGTTGAGATCGGCAGTTGATGATGTCTTGTGAATTCATTGATCCAGATCTTTGATGCAATTATTTGTGATCCACCATACGGAGTTCGAGCTGGTGGACGCAAATCCGGTGGCAGAAAGATCCTAAGAGGTACAGTGGATCCTTACACTGTTCCTGAGGACAAAAGAACAGGCCACATTCCATCTACTGGTGCATATAGTCTAGTGGAGTGTGTGCATGATCTGCTTCACCTTGCTGCAAGAATGTTGGTGATGAAAGGCAGGCTGGTCTTTTTCTTCCCGGTTTTGAGAGATGAGAGTGGCAGTGAGGTTAAGTTTCCGGAGCACCCTTGTTTCAAGTTAGTTGCTGTCTCTGAACAGATCTTGAGCTCGCGTTACAGCCGAGTTTTGCTAACAATGGTGAAAGTAGAGCCTTATAGTGAAAAGATCGAAGAAGCTGCTCGTTTAATGCATTTAGAGTTTAGAGAGAATCATCTTAAATGGTTAGAGGAAGGTAATATCCATTCTTCTGTGTTTAAACCTACTGATTCTTCCCAGATTCATACCGAGGCCAAAACCTTTAAAGATCCTAAACCTAAGTATAGAGGGAAGTATGTGTAAGAATTGAGTTTTATGTGTTCTTTTGTTGTATTTTGTTTGACTTATTTTGTTTGACTTATTTTGTTTGACTTATGCATGAACACTGTTCTGACTTTGTTGTGAAGATGTGTTTCTCATTTTCCAAATACAAATCAACTTTTGAGATTGCTGGCAAACAAACAAGTCTTTAAAAAGTTTAACAGAAGAGACATTCTCTTGAGACACACGCCTCCGCTTACAAGAAGACCAAAACAAAACAACAAAGCTATGGTACCGAAGATGAACCAACAAAAAGGAACAAAGATTAGAGTGTTTTTTCAAGAAGATGATAAATTTTTATTACTACAAATTAACGCCTGACAGGGGCTTGTCAGAACATCTAACATTTGGCTGGTCTTCGTTTCCTTCTTACCATCCTTCCCTAGACAACGGCCTATCAGAACACGAGATTTCAGAAGTTAGTATAACATTGTTGCCTGAACGAAGATGATCCTAAATGCAAACATCTTTGTACCAAATATACAAACCTGTTGTTGAAGAACCCACGCTCTTTGCTTCCTTGGAAGTTCCTTCGCTGATCATCAACAGGTCTAACCCAGGCATCAACTGCGCCACGAGATCTAGGTCTCTCTGTGGATTCAAAACTCCTGGATTCATCGATTGATCCAGACCGGGAATGTGTTCTTTCTGAGTAAGAACCGGTTCTGCCTGCACCAGACCCGGGTCTCTCAACTGGTTTCTGCCTGAACCTGACTTTGTCGTCCAACTCACGAGTTAGTATTTCTAGATCTCTTTCCTTTCCCCGTATTGTTTCTGGTAAATCATGGTGATTATTATTAGTGTCAGGTTCTTGATCAGATTGCTTGATCTCTGGAGCAATGGATTCCTTCTCGAGTTTTTTCCTTAGTTCTTCAATCTCTTCCTTCAACATCTTCTCTTCTTCTGTTTCAGGCCTGTACAGATTGGTTTTCACAAAATAGAGATTAATAGCAGATTGCCATAAAAAGAGTATCATAGAGTTCTATAACGAAAAGTATCACACAAGAAGCATCTCAAAACTTTCATTTAGGTACAAACTATAGCTCAGATAACACACAAGAGAAGACGCAAAAGTAAGCTAACAGGCTTTAAAACTCAATCAATGCCCAAAGAAGCTGAATAAAAATGACATATTGAAAAAACCCTATATCGTATAAAGAGCTCCACTGAGAGAACATCGAAGTTCACATCATTTAGCGCCATCTACAACTCACAGACGACTAATAACATATTAACAAAACAAAACCATCAAGACTCTAACCTTAAGTAGAAATGGCAAATCATTTATGTTCGCAGCTTCATACAGTTTAATCTTTAAATGAATCAAACTATAAAACGGTTGACTTATGCCATAACATATCAAGCAGTTAAATGGTTATTTCAGAATCTAAGCGTTGGTCAAGCAGAAAAGCACCATGCAATAAAATGAAACGAAAACCAATATTCAGAAACGAAACAGCACGACAACCCTCAATGAAACTTATTAAAATCCAGATGAACAAAGACCTGTCAACTCTGCGATGCTCGAGTTCCATATCCATCTTACGCCAATCTTTCCCTTGTTCCTCCAACAACACTTCTCTTGGCTTCGCATCTCCAAAAGGATTCACCTTCGGTCTCGGTTTCACCACATTATCCAACCCCAAACTCTCAGACCTGTTAGACTGAGCACTGGAAGGCCTACTCGAATGTGCGCTCGTTGGCCTACTCGTCTGAGAACCTCCTTTCTTAGCCTCAATCTCCGAGTCAATCTTCTTCCAATCCAAACCTTTCTCCGCCAAAACCTCCTCCCTTGGCCTAGCTGCCCCAAAAGGATTCGGCTTACTCGTCTTAACAGCACCTGGTGGAGGAGTCTCACTCGCTCCAGAGTCAACAACCTTCCGCGGCTCCAAAACCAAACGACGACGCTCCTCCTGAACACCACCTAGCGCTACTCCTCTCGCCCAACGGTCAGGCTCACGTCCTGAATCACCGTAACCACCAGACCCAAATGTAGATGATCTAACCGGAACCGGAGCTTGTCTTTTCCCTGCCGCCCAATTATCAGTTTCATCAGCTTTGGACAATCCACCACCTCCACCACCAAAACCACCACCACCACCACCACCGCCGTTAAAACTACCACCACCACCACCGCCAAGACCACCATAACGACCACCACCCTGTCGTCCCTGATCAAAAGGAATCGCCTTTTTCCCTTTCCCCCAATCATCAACCTCATCAGCCCTAGAAGACTGAGGAAACTCCGAAACCCTAGAACCCCCTCCTCTCCTTTCATCATCAAACCCACCACCATACCCTCTCCTCCCACCACCACCACCACCACCACCCCAAGAGCCATCAGAATCCTCCCGATCTCTCCCCATCCTCCCACCCCCACGACCTCCGTAAGAAGAGAATCCCCCACCTAACCTCCCAGGCACCATCTCATCCTCCGACCGTTGCCTAGGACCAGTAGGCAGCTGCAAAATCTCCTGCTGAGTCAACCCAACAGAGTTTCTACCCGCAGGCGCTGCGTAAGCGCCGGTTGTAAACTCCGATAAAGTCATCTTCTTCTTCTTCTTAGACTTAACATTGCTCGCTGCCTCCTTCAAGCTAGGGAAACTCTGCACATCCGCCGCCGCCTGCTCCTCATCCGCCTTCTCCGCTTCGTCCGCCCACGCCCCGATCCCAATCCCACCCCACGGCTTCGACATATCTCCAAATTTTTTCAATTCTCAGATCTCAAAATCCGGAAGTTGGATCGATAGATCTGAATCGGGAATTAAGATCTAGGGTTTCGATTTGAAAGCTTTTTGATCTGTAGAGGAAAAACCGTTTTTGGGAGATTATTATTATTATTCCTTTTGGCGTGAAGATGAAACTTTTGTGTGTGTGTGTGTTTTTTTTTGGCTGGGGAAAATCGTTTGGGATTTATTCTTTCATTTGCATGCTTGTGAATGAAGGAGAGATAGGTGGGGAATCGAGGGTCACGCGTTGGGAATGCGCGTGAGGGAGACGTACCAGTTAGAAACGAGAGCTTGAAGGAAGTTATTACGGCTTGAGTGTGTGGTCACGCTATGTTTTAAAAGTAAAGTGACGGTTGACTATACGAAATGAACGGTCAAGAATGATGTATCGTCTTTTTTTTTTTAACTCATTTTAACCAACTTTTCTTAATGACATAATTATTACGGCCAAATTAGGTGGGTAATTAATTAGACATGTGTCTATGATTTTTTAAAAATTTAGACATATGTCTATGATTTATTTGCCTTCTAAATGACATGCTATTTCATTAAGAAAATCATCTGTTTTTAGAGCAAAATTGTAAAATTATTCTATAAGAAAAGTATGATAAATAATAAAAAATGTTAGAATCATTGACCTAAATAATTTGTATTGTATGTTGCTTGCTGATTATTATTATTGTGAGCAGTGTTATTTTTTTGTTGATAAGTATTGTGAGCAGTGTTATTAGAGTATAGATTATACATGAACTCTATTTTCATAAGACTAAAAGTGAAACATCACTATAGCATGGGAAAAGGAAATTGTATGTAGAAAGAAAGTATGTCGATCTGATATATAGTCATGCATGGCTACAAAGGAGAACAAACAAAGCAAGAAGACATGAGATTCAGCTTGGATCGATACTCAATCTTTTGTTGGCTACAATGGAGAACGAACACCATTAGAGCTAGTTTCAGTTGCAGAAGATTAGTAACAATCTCAAGGGAAAGTTGAAGAAAGAAAGAGATTTCGTGGGTCTTCCAACTAGTGTTGTTCAGTTCCTTGGTTCAAGTCTACATTTGGGAGGGAGTCCGATGTGTTCTCTTGTTCCTCTGCAAAGACATCTTCTTTCATATCTGTATATCTCAAATAGAAGTTTCAAACAAACGTTTAAACATGCCTCAAAGCTCAAAGTATCTTTGTAACTTTTTTTTTCTTCACTAGCAACTTTACATAATATCAAAATGATTACAAAGATACGGCTTTAAAGGGTTAAAAATTAAGGGAAAAGGAAGAAAACAAACTACCAAATCTCTAGTCTCTTTCTCCTCAGACAAAATCCAGACCAAACTCATCTCTCCAGCTCATGATGCTAAACTCATCAAGCCTTACACATACATGGAGTGAGAGGATTTTCCCAAAGATCGTAGTTAGGAAAAGTTTCTTCAGGCAAACCGGTTCTTGTCTGATGGGTTACAACTACGTCTTCCACAAACGTTGCCCATCCCATGTAAGGATCCCCAAATGATTTCGACATCAACCCTTTATCCGGTTTTATTGATTTCTGGCGATGACCCATATATCTCCTTGCTCCAATGATCAGTTTCGCAAAGTTTCCACCGTGTGTCATCACAAACACATCTGACTTCAAACAAACCAAGAAATCTAGAGCAGCTAAGCTTGTTACGTGCTTTCTAAAGCTTGCTAGTTCCTCCTTGCCTGCTAAATCCTCCTTTGTTACCTGGTTTCAAAAGGAAGATTGTGTAAGAGAGACGCTAGGCTTCCTGATTTATTTAGATGAGATAGGGGTCGGTGTTCTTACCAAATTTGGGAACATGTTTCTTAGTGGAGCCATGCGGTTTTGGCCTCCATAGACTTGACCAGATGCTACATAGATTTGTGTTTCTTTTGGATAGCCCATTGCACGTAGGATCACAGCAACTTCCCCTGGCTCAAGGGGGCATCTACCTTCTTTGCGCTTCTGCAAGGCGAGCTGCCAGAGATGAGAACCATTCTGCAATACATGTCAAACACATTAGTCAAGCCAGCGGCTGAGAGCACCAAATACATATTATCAACCATTAGAAAAATTCACCTTGAAGCGCCGAGGCCATTCCTTTTGTCTGTATTCTGCCATTCTAGCTTTCTCTTCTCTTGTTCCCACAAAATCACAAAAGGATAAACCAACCATTCCTTTCTCAAATCTAAGATGAAGAGCCCTACAAAAGAGAGAAAAGATATGGTTTTTAGTCAAAAAAGATGCTTTGAAAATCCCAAGTTAAAACAAAGTTCTATATGTTTGATATCTCATTATACATATAGGGATTTGGATTTCCAGTGCGGTTTCTCATTCTTGAAACAAGTGAATCCGCCATCTGCTCTATCTCTGGGAGAAACTTGAGGGCATGATAGTTTACACGGCATCGTAACCTGTTGATTTCTTGAGGTACATTGTCATACCTGGAAAATTTCCAGCGCCACAAGGATATATCATTTCATATGTGTATAAGAAATTTTACAAAAGTCTGACCCCTCAGCTAGAGATTATGGATTATACCCAAGTCGATCTACAAAAGGCTTCAAGGCCATTATTTTCTTCTCCTTTATCCGTGGCAAAACATTGTCTATATAGAACTGGGCTGCTGCATATTTGGGGATGTTTTTGACTGTTCTTCTGCAGATGACAAGTAAATAACTTGGTCAAAGTCTTATCTGATTTTAAAAGTATTGATCAACTTTAAATCATATATATATATATATATATAAATAAGGAGCACGAAATGGCGCCATAAACCTATAAGCTCACTTTTGAAACCATCAAACAAGTATACATTAGAGAATTAAGTAACAGTTGAAAAAAGCAAACCTTATACTAGAGAATAACTCTGCTTTATCAGTGAACCAGTCAGGTATATCTCTAACGATTCGGACATCATCCTTCAAGTAATCAATGAAATGATCTACATCAAAAATGTCTTCAAATTTCCTGCCAAAGAAAGCTTACAGATTCAGCAAACTATAAAGAGAACAGAGAGAGTACCTGACTCCATTTTCAATATGCTTATAATAATCATAACTAGAATACAAAGTAGCAGCAGTAAGTAGAGACTTCCAAAAGTATTATCTGAATAAGCTTACGTTTGGTCTTTCCAAATTTGATCCTGCTTCAGTACTGGTAGAATCAGAGTTGCATTCATAATCTTAGCAACAGCTACTGCGTTACAGATCTGGGGACAAAAGGTAATAACTCAGATCTCCCAAAATGTAAAGAGAAAACGCAATGAACAGAGAAGGAAAAGCATGGAAGAAACATACAGCTATTCGTTGCTGATTCAAACCACCTTCAGCATGAATGAAAACGTATCCATTTGTTTCATTCTCAGGACGAAGATCTGAAGAAAAAGTTAAACAAGATTTGCTAATAAGCTGACATGAAACAAACAAACCATTCACAAAATACAAATCAAGAGAAAATGACAATACCTGAGACTCCACCAATCCGCCGCTCAGCACAAGGCTTCCAAGAAGTAGTTGCAGACAAAGGATTCTCCCAGGGAGAAGGTGACTCTTTAACCTAGCAACACACAACCAAACACACAATTCAACCTAACAGATCCAAAGCTTACACCTTTCACAAAAAAAAAAAAACAAACCAAAGTCCAAACACTTACATGAGGACAGTTCAGCACAATCCCATCTTTCTTACACAAATACGGCGCATTCTGCAAACAATCAACACATAAGCAAACTAACACTTTCCCAAATCGATTCTCAAACATTAGATCAAAAATCATAAAAAGATCTCAAGTCCTTTAGATCTCAAAAGGAAGAGACTTTACCAAGTGATTAACAATCCCATAAACAGAGATCAAGCTCACGACGGCCACAACCAATATCAAAAGCAGCGAAATCTTATTCTTCTGAGGAGAAACCCTAAGATCGTCGCCGAGGAAAGGGAACAGAGAGTGGAGCCCCGATACTGACCAGATCGGACGGTGACGTGGTCGTCCGTCTTCGTCGTCTCCTCCTCCTCCGCCGTTGGGTGAGTGATCGTGTACGTGAGGAGAGGAAGAGTCCTCGTCTCCGACGCGTAAAGGAGAGGAGGAAGATCGGCTCCCGGCGGAGCTCGAGTGCCGCAGCTCCGCCATTGCTCGACGTGGGCTGAAAGTCGCCAGCTTTACTTATCGATTTGCTCTCTCTGTCAATCTCGATCTCAGTTGTGTAGCTAACAGTTTAGTGTTTGAGACGATGCCATGTGATGTGAAAGGAAGGAAGCTTGGAGAGTCTCTCTGGAACACTATACAGATGGGAGAATAAAGAAAGCTTTTTTGAGAGACTTGTTTGTTGTTCACTTTAGAGTCAACAACCTCTAACTCAGACAGAGGGTTAAGTTATATTTTATAAGTACAGCCCCGTAGTTTATTATAATTACATAATCACCCCTAGGTAGTAGTTAACTCTAGGCATTTGAAGTCTGTATGTGGTTTAGGGTAATTGGGTTAGGATGCTAGATGATTCATTTATTACTTCGTCTATTTATGATTCGGTCAGATAGTAAAATTAAAAACTAGAAATGATAAAATTCGATTTTTATTTGGTTCCGGTTCGGTTAATTCGGATAATTTAGGTAATTCAGTTAAATATAAGATATTTTGAATAAATCATCAAATAATTCAGATGAAATATTAGATATTTCATATTACTTTAATATTAAGGATCAAATATTCAGATAATTTCAGAATTTTATTTATAAAAATTTAATTTTCTTTAAGTGTATTCAGATATTATCTTATAAAATTTTAAACCATAAATATATATTTAGCTATATCATATATATACAAGTAATATTTTATATTTTTGAGTACCTATCCGGATTGAATAGGAGAAAAAAGAAGAACAAAAACTTCTCTCTAAAAATCTCTCTAGATTCTCTTTAAGTTTCTCATCAATCGGAAGCGTGTTGCCGGGTGGCTGTTTGGCTCTCATAGCCTCTGTCGGTCGGATCTCTGCTTTTATTTTCGTTTTTAGTTTGCATGTCCTTTTGTTTAAGCTTTCAGCATATTTAATTAGATTAGTAGATCATAGTCTCTAGTTTGAGCGTTGTTGGTTGAGATGTTATTAGAGGCGTTATACGGCTTTGTTCTGTCTCTATTGACTGTTTATGTCTCATCTGTTCGAGTCCTATCGATTTGATGTGCGATGATGCTTGCTTCTTGTGGTGGATTTACCAAGGGATGATGGAGGTGCTTATCCTTGTTATCGTTAGCGACGGGTCAGATCTTGAAATGGTGTCTTCTTCATGTTCTGGTCATGGAGTCTCCTGCTTGTCTACAAGGATTTGGGGCTTTGGCTTCTATGCACCTAGCGTGGAGGTTTGATTGTTAAAAGTTGGATCTTCATCAACTTCCGGAGTTTCAAGTTCTGCGTTTTCTTTTGGCTCATCAGGTTGTTGGAGCAATATAATGAGAGGTAGAATATCCTTTAATAATTTTGCTAATGGGTGTGCGCGTATTTCTTCTCTCCTCCCTTGTTTTTTTTCATTTACTTGAGTGTTTGGTGAATTGATCTAGCTTTTATGATTATGTTGTGTTATTAGCTTGTGTTTATTATGTTTTGGTTTAGATTCCAAAGAATTTGTCAAATTCTGCTGGCAATGTCTTCAGAGTAGATCTTTCTACTGTTGGCTTAAGTCTCATGGAGTTTTTATACTCACTAGCTCAATGTATTTTCCTTGTGTTTCATCTTGTTATTTATTAATGAAATGTTTCAGAGTAAAAAAGAAGAATACCTATCCGAATTTCAATTTGATTATTTCAGATATAAAAATATTGCAATTATTTGAGTACTTGAAGGTTTTGATCTGGTTGGGTATTTCGGTTTGGTTGTTCGATTTTTTTTCCCATGCCTAGTTACCTCCATCGCTGACTATTTGCATAATTTACATTTCTCAAATATTATTTTTGAAACTGCGTCGGAGAGCCTACATGATGTACTCACAGAGCCTGATGAAGACCATAACCACAGCCATATTCATCACAATATCTATTTTCTTCTGGCAAGGATTAATTCATGGAGTTTGGATCACACTCTTCCTGAATGCAATGAAGCTGCAGCGACAATTGCTTTAAGTGTCACTCGTGATCTGCGTTACCAGTCGTACATTGGCCGAAATGCACCAGTGTAGTTATATCACTTACTCGTTTTGGAGACTCAACAATAAAAGGATTTGGTGAGGTTTCTTCCACTTTTGTTTAGTGTCTAATGACATCTCATTTTATCTTTTTTATTTATTTATTTTATATCATTTCGAACTCTTCAAATCTAACACTGTAATAAAAAAAATACCTCCATCGCTAGTTCATATTTATAGTCAACAACTCTCTAAACGGCACAGAGGGTTAGATTTTTCTATATTTACAAACACATCCCCATATGTAATCATAATTACTTGAACACCCCTAACCTCTCTGTTTTTGTCTCATTTCCTAAGCCCTTTCTTTAACCTAAGTCGTCACTCGTCGGTCATTCTCAATCACACCACTCTCTCGGGGGAAGAAGATGAACACGATAGCGAAGCGAGTCACGGGACTACTGACTCGGTCGAGTCACACTCAGCTGCAGCAGGAACGAGGCATAAGAGTGAAGGTGTTCTCAGGGGATCTAGACAAGGCCCTGACGATATTGCAGAGGAAGATGCAGTCGAGCGGGATGGAGAGGCTGATAAAAGCGCAGCAGACGCATCACATAAAGAACTCAGAGAAGAAGGTTCTCGCTAGGAAGAATCTTGAACGAAAGATCAAATCCATTGACTTTGCTCGTAAACTCCAGTCCATCCTCATCAAGAAAGTCAGGTATAAGTTTCCCTTCCTTTATTAGGAAAGTGTTTGGATTTTAGGGTTTTAATTGGATTTAAACATTGTGATTTGTGATGTGTAATGGTTTCTCTCTCATGTTCTTTTATTTGCAGAGGTTTATGAGTGTTGAGCGGAGACAAAGGTGGTTGATGTCATAACCATACGTCATCTTTCTTTACATTACATTTACAGTGAATGAATTGTTGATCAGTGTTAGTATCTGTGATATTTAACACAATTGTGATCCAGTTGTTTTTTTTTTTTTGTTTTTTTCATTTTGAACTTTTTGATGAATGAAATCAATGTGGAATTGGTAGATTACTATTATTTGTTTAAAATCTATGAATAAGGTTTTTCTATAATCAACTTCAGGTCCAAGAAGTACGTTTAGGACACAATGTTAAATAGTTTAGGACACAATGTCCTGCTGATCTGTGCCTTGTAATGACCGCAAGCCTCTCTACTTGTATTGTCTTTACTGTTTTACTCTTTATTTATACAGTACTGAAACATTCATCTCCAAAGCCATGATAACTCAGTGAGGCGGTACCCAACAGCATCTCCTTTTTGTAAGTTCTTAACCCTATCTCTCCTGGATTAAAAGAAATTAGGCTGAGTAATATACAATGAACATATAAAGTGAGAAAGAAAGAGAGAATGTTTTATAGATTATCTTTCTTTTTTTTGTTTAGTGCAAAGGACAAGGAATCTAATCTACAAAAAGATTACTTGCTTCAATGTATTACTTCCAATTCTTTATGTTTTGGTGAGATTATCTCACACAACAAGAATCCTTACTTGAACTTGTCACCAAGTTATCTTCCTCCTCTCTCTTTCTCTCGTTTAGAAATTGGATAACAGTTGAAACCCTCCTATCATTCTTTCATCTTAGTTATTCTTAACTCAAAAACTTCTTTTGATGCTTTCTTAGCTTCTTCATGTCTCATCATCATCACTATGAAACCAACCCTCATTTCGCACGCCTTCCATCTCAGAATCAACACCTCAAAGGTGGTGGTGCTTCAACCTCACAAACACCCCCACATCAAACCTCAAAATCTCACCCAAAAGCTGCTGCACCAGGAATCCAAATCAAGCCTCGTGATCGCCACGGTAAACGACCAGTCCACGAACCACCTCACACCGTAATACCTGTACCGTTAAAACCAGAAGAAAGACTACCACCGAGGGAAACTCCAAACTCTTCCAAAATACCAGTACTATCAAGCCCTGAGGAGAAACAACCACGAAAGGAAAATCCAAACTCTGCTAAAAGACCATTACTATTAAGCCCTGAAGGTCACCATCAACAACAACAACAACACTCTCCACCACCACAAGCACCACGCGGTTACGCAACATCATTACCTCCAATAGCCAAACCAACTCCATGGAGAACCGCTCCAACACCATCACCACATCGCCGTGGTCGCCAACGGACACCACCACCACCTCCTTCAAGAGACCAAACAAACACAGCAACATGGTCAGCTGCATTCTGCTGTGCAATTTTCTGGATCATTCTTATCCTCAGCGGTCTAGTCGTCTTAATAGTCTACCTAGTGTACCGTCCACGCTCTCCTCACATCGACATCTCAACAGCTAACCTAAACGCTGCTTATCTCGACATGGGGTTTCTTCTAAACGGAGACCTAACCATGTTAGCGAACTTCACAAACCCAAACAAGAAAAGCAGTGTAGAGTTCAGCTCTTTGACGTTTGATCTTTACTATTACAACACTCTTATAGCGACTTCCTACGTTGCGCCTTTCAAGGTTCCTAAGAAAATGTCGGCGTTTACGAGTGTTCATCTAGTGAGCAGTCAAGTGCAGCTCGAGCCAACGCAGAGCAGGGAGCTGCAGCGTCAGATTGAAACAGGTCCGGTTTTGTTGAACCTGAGAGGAACGTTTCACGCACGTTCGAACTTAGGGGCGTTGTTTAGGTACTCTTATCGGTTGCATACTCATTGCAGCTTTTCTTTGAATAGTCCTCCTTCAGGAACTATGCGAGCTAGACGATGCAGTACCAAACGCTGAGTATTGCTATTTTCGTTTGCTCCCATTTGTTTTTTTTTCTTCGACATTTTCGGAAAATAATTATTTTCTGTACTCATTGATAACTCTTATCAGATTGGTTAATTAAAATAATTTGATTACTAATGTTTTTGCAAAGTAGAAATAATGTTCCAAACTTAAGAAAGCTGTTTTAAGACTTTTTAACTTTATTAATGTTACATGAATAAAATGAATAATAGAAAATGTTTTGCTTGTAACTTTTCTTTTAATTTGATCTTCAAACTTTGACTTGTAATACTAGTAATTTACTTGCATAATAAACACCAAAAAGTGTTGGATATATTTTTGATTGAATGTTATTTCGAACCGTGATAGTCAATTTAGAGTATTTTAATCAAATTTTCTATTTATAAGATTAATTTTCTTCATTTCTAATTCCCATCAAGTTAGCGATGTAGGATAGTTTCTTTTATATATCTTTGCATGAGTTTTTTTCATTTATATGTTTGCATGCAATCATATCGCAATCATGCACCTGCAAGATGTATCTATGTATATGTTTAGCAAATTAGTTTTTATTATATATTACTGTATATGTGTTCAAAAAGTGTATTTGTATTGGTAAGAAAGACTTTTTTATTGTCCGTAAGATAGAAAAAGAGAGACACAAGGAAAAAAAAAGCATTGAGAAATAAATAAATAAAATGTCTTTTAAATCATCAACTTTTAAATTTGGTTGAAATAAAACATCAATTTTTTCGTAAGCCAAAAAAATATTTAATTTTTATTGATAAACCATTTGGATCACAAACTTTCGTCGAGCATACCACTTTGTTTTCTTTTTGTATGCTTGTGCAATAAAAACTTTCCATTTCTTTTTTCTTTAGAACTTTATAACTTTATATTTTTTCAACTTGAATTTGAAGAAAATTTTATTATGCCGAATTCAAAAACATAATAACATTAAAATAAAGTAAAATATATAAAACTAATCACCATATAGTAATAATTTTATACTAAACAATAAAATTAAAAAATTACATAATATATATAACATTAAAATGTATATTATATTTAAAAAGAAATTTTCTAAAATAGACCTAATTTTTTTTTCTCACAAATATAGACCTTAAAATAAAAATGACCAAAATATACTTAAATATTTTATCAAAAATAAATAAATACACATTTGTACCCTTTGAGTTAACTAATCCTAGACTTTCTGTTTGAAGTTAACGACTGAGATTTTAAAGAAAGAATTTCAAAAATAAAAAAAAAACTTTAAATTTTTAAAATAAAAAAAAAATTATTTAGGTCATTTTAGTTTTTGAGGTTTATTTTTGTGATAAAAACTTTAAAAATGTTTATTTGAAAGAATTACCCTATTTGTAATAAAAACTTAAAAATTACATGCACGAACTGCAGTTTAAACTCGAGTTATATATTAGTGCAAATCATTTCCTGGTTTTCATGTAGGATGATATATTCTTCACAATTATAGTGTTCACTAGATAATCAAAAGAATCGGCGCTTCCTCACCTTAGATTATTATTATTTTTTCCTTTTCATAAATTAAAGGGATAATTTGAAAAATACCCCATTTGTGATTTAAAATTTGAAAAATGCATATGCTTTTTTGCTTTTTGAAAATTGCACTTTCTTATATATGAGAAGACATTTCTATCCTGATTTTAATTGAAAATAAGAATTAAAAGTTAAAGAAGTAAATTTAAGTTGTTATTGTTATTACTATTTTGGAGCACTTTCGACAGTAAAAAAGCTAATCCACAAGTTATTTACTAACTTAATCAGTGACATATTTCATACTAGTTAATAGTGAAAAATGTTGTATTTGTCTTTGGTAAGAAAACATGCGACACAATAAACATTTGATTCCTCACGATAAGCTCATGCTGTAAAGAAAAATATTCACATGCCAAGTTATTCTTTGTAGTTCTAACCATCATAAGTTTTTTTGTCTGCATATTTGGCAACTATCAACTCCATGTACGACTTGCTCAATAAAAATTGTGAATCGGAGTTTAAGTGAAAGCCTATGTATACTAATACTCCACAGTATATCTGTTTTATTCATGAGCCATTGACCTTTTTCAGTAATGTTTACATCATAATTATTAGATTGGCCATGGTACTCCAGAGAAAACAGAGAAGCTCCATGATTTGCACGAAAATAAAAAAACAACATATGAGTGGTGGTAAGCCCTTTTTAAATTAAAAAAAAAAAAAGAAAAAAAGAAACATATGAGTGGTGGTAATATTTTTCTACAAGTAGAGTATATTCGATTAGATATTAGAATTGATTTGTTGTTGTTGAGTTTGTTACTAAAATATATTTTCAAACGCTTGGTTCAAAATTCATTTGGATTCATTAAAACTATTAAAATAATTATAGTTTAAAACTGGATAGTTTAGTCGTTTTACTTATAGGTAAAGGTATTTATCCAAAAAAATAAAAGATGATATAGTTTTCAAAATATAATCTCACTGTAAGATATTTTTCCAAATTTCCCCTAAATTAAATTATTGAAGTGAGCACTGCTCAAAGTTATATATATCAAGAGGCATGAGCTTTGTTTGCGAGTCATACCTCAGAAAAATACAAATGGATAACGTTTGGGTTCTACCACTTTTCTTCCTAATCTATTTTGTGGTACTCACCGCTTACAAACGTTCGAAGAGGCAGCAACTCCGGAAACCACCTTCTCCTCCTGGTTATCCAATCATCGGTAACTTACACCAGCTCGGAAAGTTACCGCATCAATCTCTATGGAAACTGTCAAAGAAGCATGGTCCTGTGATGCTTTTGAACCTTGGAAAAGTCCCAATGGTCATACTTTCTTCTGTTGAAACCGCAAAACAAGCTCTAAGAGACAATGACATCCATTGCTGTAGCCGTCCTACAGCAGCAGGTAATTAATGTAAATCTCACAACACATGCTAAACTTTTAAATGGTTATAACATCGTTGATGTTTTGTCTTTCCTCAGGGCTTAGAGAACTGTCTTACAACAACCTGGATATAGCTTTCTCTCCATTTAGTGAGTACTGGAAAGAAGTAAGGAAGCTTGCTGTTAGGGAACTATTCAGCACTAAACAAGTTCATTCCATTAAACCCATCATGGTCGAGCAGGTCAAGAAAATGATCGACTCAGTGGCCGAATCAGCTTCTCAGAAAATACCTATCAATACGAATAAAATGTTTCTTGATATAACCAAAAGTGTGGTAGGCAAAGCAGCATTTGGTGTGAGTTTTGAGGGGACTGGTATCAACAATGAGGGGTTGAATAAGTTACTCCGTGAGGCGTTCGAGATGTTGGGAAGCTTCTCTGCCGCAGACTTTATTCCGTATGTGGGTTGGATCATCGACCAGTTCACGGGTTTACAAGGGAGGAGGGAGAGAAGCGTGAAAGGTCTTGATGCCTTCTATGAATATGTGATTGGTCTACATAAAGAGGAAAAGAAACAAGGGCGTGAAGATTTCGTTGATCTGCTCTTGAGGTTAGAGAAGGAAGGAACTGTTATTGGAAATGACAATCTCACAAGAAATCATATCAAGGCAATTTTGATGGTAATGATTCACTAAAACTCGTATGTTCTTAGAAATATTATAAATTTAATCCATAAAACTTAATCCTTCCGTTTTATATTAAATGCCGTTTTAGAGAAATTTTTTCGTTACAAAGTAAATGTCGCTTTCGATTTTCAGTGCAAAATTTATTAACTTTATTCTACAGTATATTTTTCTATTGTGGTTGTGTTTTTATATGGAAAATATGCAAAATTATTTGTTTTTTAATCCGTGTGCACGAACATAAAGTGACACTTATAATAAAATAGAGGGTGTAATATTTATCTCGATTTAGTTTTGGTCTAAGTTTTTGCCTTTAAAATTCATTAACGTTCGTTTTCAATGTTTCGGATTTCTATATTTATTACGTAAAACATGATATTATTAATACAAATTATAAGAACTATTACAATGAACTACAACAAGACTGTAATTTAAGCAATAAAACAAACACTACTTCATCACAAGGTTACATAATTAATAATTTGTAGTAGTAATAAGAGAATATGTTCGCATAAATAAAAATATATCATCTTAGAATGTTTGTAGTTTATACAATTTTAATTAAAATATGTGTTGTAATCCAGTCCACTTCTTACTCTGTTTTTATTTCCTAAAAATATGATATTCTTACATGTTTATTTATTTGTTCTTGTACATAGAACATTCTTTTAGGAGGTGTCGAGACATCAGCAGTCACAATGACATGGGCAATGACAGAAATGACTAGGAACCCTAGAGTGATGAAGAAAGTTCAATCTGAAATCAGAAACCAAATGGGGAATAAATCCATAATTAGCTTTGATGACACAGAAAAGCTAACTTACCTGAAAATGGTGATCAAAGAAACATGGAGACTACATCCTCCAGTACCTCTTCTTTCTCCAAGAGAAGCAATGTCTGAATTTGAGATTAACGGCTACACCATAAAGGCCAAGACACGGCTTCATGTGAATGTTTGGGCTATTGGGCGTGATCCTGATACCTGGAAAGATCCAGAGGAGTTTCTTCCCGAGAGGTTTATGGATAATAGCATTGATGCAAAGGGGCTAAACTTTGAGTTGTTACCGTTTGGAAGTGGCCGGAGAATCTGTCCTGCAATTTTTATGGGAACAACATTGGTGGAGTGTGGTCTTGCAAATATGTTGTATAGTTTTGATTGGAAGTTACCAGAAGGCACTGTGGTTGAAGACATCGACATAGAAGAATCTCCTGGACTTAGTGTGAGCAAGAAAAATGAGCTTCTACTTGTTCCTTTGAAGTACTTAGATCATTGATCACTTAAAAGTTCTTCATCTACAGTTTTGTTCCTTTTTTTGTCGTCCTATTGGTCAAGGAATTACTCCACCAAATGTTTAAGATAATTTACTAATGTAATAGTTTGTATATGTTTTCCAATATGCTTTTACAATATGGATGGAGGCAGTGGCGGAGCCAGCCACAACCTTTATTGGATTTAATTTATGATTAAATACAAATTTATATCAAGCATATTAATCACTTTGTCTAAAGTAACATTATATATCAAGCATATTAATCATTTTGATATCTTAAATCATACAGTCACACCCATAACCATGCAACCATTTTATGTTTATAATTTGCATATACAAATGTGTTCTAGGAGTGTAATAACACAACTCATAATATAAAACTTTCAAACCATCATTTGAAATAATTGTAAAGTGACCGACGTTGAGTTGGCCTAGTGGTAAAAGGGTTGCGGCTGTAACTTCCGCCACTTGAGTTCAATTGATGTTGGGAGAGACTATTTACAATGCTTGGGTTCCCGGTAAAGAGGTGAAACCACATTTTTTTTTTTTACCAAAAAAATAATTGTAAAGTGGATAAGTGAGCTTCTGCGTAAGAGTTCTCATCCACACAATATAAGTCACATGTTAGACAATGACCATAATAATTGATAAACGTGTACGTATTACGACATAACACTGACTTATCAGAAAAAAAAAACAATTTAAACAAGGTGTTTTTCTGCAAGTATGCGTAACAATAAAAAAATTTAAATTTAAATTATATTTAAAATCAAATTTGTTAATTTCTAAATTTATTATTTGTGTACCAATATTCTAATATAAATTTTAATTTTGTTAAACGAAAAATTAAGAAGAAATAAACAATTTATTTTAATTTATATTTAAGAAAGATAGAAAATTGTAGGGTTATAAAACTAGACTTAATAATATTATGAAATTTATAAATATTTTATACTTATTATATTATTTAATTTAATATTTGAATATATTTATTTCAATGATGAATTATTTTGAAAATTATCAAAATAGAAATCAACATTAATATAATTATTATGCAATATGTAGTTATAAATCATGTCAACAATTCTAGTATATTATGTCATATTTTTAGTGAAAATCATTGTAGAATGACGTGTGTCATATCACTTATCAATTAATGTCTAAAAAAATTTTTATATAGAGTACTTAGATATAATATAAAGAGAAACGAGTCAAATGGAATAAAGTAAATAATACACAAATAGTTTGAAAGATAAACTGGAGAACGAAAACAATGAAACCAAGCTTAGAACATTTCCATTCTTAGTCCATATTTTACTTTAAAATAGAATGAAAAAATGGAATAATAAATAAAGAAATAAAAATATTATATTATATAAAATATTCTTTTATTTTTGTTCATTATACTATTTTCCACTCCAAGTTGTCCTTGCGCTGACAACAAAACAATCCGAGGTTTTATCAAATAATGGACTAATTACCCCAGAACATATATGTATTCGCACAAGTTGACAGACATTATACACCACAGGAATTAATAAAACCTGAGCCTTGTGTCAAATAATTATCCTCCATTCAAAAGTTAGCATACATATTTTCATAATGAATTTGATCATTAGCTTTAAAGCCAAATTTCAGTGAAACTATTTGAGAAATATAAAACATGTACAGATCAAACAATTAAGAGAAACAAAATGGCAATCTCTCTCTATCTCCTCCTTACCTTAGTCTCAATAATTTTCCTTAAGCTGTTCAAACACTCAAACTCTCAACTTCCTCCGAGTCCTCCAGCGCTTCCAATCATCGGAAACTTGCATCAGCTCGGAGAACTGCCACATCAGTCTCTATGGAGACTCTCCAAAAAGTATGGTCCAGTGATATTTATGAAGCTTGGTACAGTCCCAATGATCGTAGTTTCTACTCCTGATACAGCAAGACAAGCCCTAAGAGTCTTTGACCTGAATTGTTGTAGCCGTCCATCATTAGCAGGTATACCTTTAACTAATTACAGTTTCCATTTTTATTGCTTATGGAAACATAACCGATGGGTTTCTTCAGGCTCAAGGAAGCTCTCTTACAACTACAAGGACATCGCTTTCTCTCCATTTGATGATTACTGGAAAGAAGTAAGGAAACTCTCTGTTCAAGAACTCTTTAACATCAAACGAGTTCATTCGATTCAACCCATCAAATACGAGGAGATGAGGAAACTGATGACTTCATTCGCTGAATCAGCCTCAAAGAAATCTCCGGTTAACTTGAGCGAGAAGCTTCTTTCTTTAACAGCTAGCGTGGTGTGCAGGGCATCATTTGGTGTGAGTTTCCAAGACACTGTGCTTGACAGTGAGAGGTTCAACGAGTTAGTTCCTGAGGCACTTGAGATTTTAGGGAGCTTCTCTGCCTCAGATTTTTACCCTTATGTTGGCTGGATCTTGGATCGGTTCACGGGTTTACACAAACGTAGAGAGAGAAGCGCACAAGACCTAGATGCCTTCTGTGAACAGATGATTGATCTACATCTCAAGAAAAACAAAGAAGATGAGAATGAAGATTTCGTGGACCTTCTCATGAAGTTGGAAAAGGAAGAAGTTGTTCTTGGACAAGCAAAATTTACAAGAAACAATATCAAAGCACTCCTGATTGTAAGTACAATTACAAAAATATACTCTCTAGCTATGTTTTATTTGATATTATTGCTGAAAACATTATATATATATATATATATATATATATATATTTTCTCCAAAAAACAACACTAAAACTATAAATTAAAATATAATTCCATTTGTCAGTAAAAATACTATAAAATATAATTGGTCAAACAGTTTTAGAATGGATATATAAATAAATTATGAACGGAGGGAGTATACAATATTAACTTTAAATGTTTGATTGTATTCCACATGCCTAATAGTAATTATTGTTTTAGAACATTCTTCTGGCGGGAATAGATACTTCTGCAATAACAATGACATGGGCAATGGCAGAACTCTCAAGAAACCCACGACTGATGAAGAAAGTTCAATCTGAAATCCGAGAAAAATATGGAGACAAAGAACTAATCAGCTTAGAAGAAACTGAGGAGCTAGAGTACATGAAAATGGTAATCAAAGAAACATGGAGGCTTCATCCTACAACACCTCTTCTGCTTCCAAGAGAAGTAATGACTGAATTTGAGATCAATGGCTACACGATACCAGTCAATACAAGGCTTCAAGAGTGAATGTCTGGGCTATAGGGCGTGATCCTGATGCATGGAAAGATCCGGAAGAGTTCATTCCGGAGAGGTTTATGGATAATAACATTGATGTAAAAGGACAGAACTTTGAGTTGTTGCCATTTGGGAGTGGTCGGAGAATCTGTCCTGCTGTTTACATGGGGAGTAAAATGGTTGAGTTTGGTCTTGCGAATCTGCTGAATCGTTTTGACTGGGAGTTACCAGAAGGAATGGAATGTGAGGATATGAAGATGGAAGAAGCTCCAGGACTTACTATTTACAAGAAACATGATCTTCTACTTGTTCCTGTTAAGCGTTAAGATCTTTGGTTTCCTAAATTAAGTTCACTATAAGATTATAGACTAGTTCATTGGCTTTTCAAAATTATAAAATATTATAACTAGCTTTTTATTACAAGAAACATGATCTTCTACTTGTTCCTGTTAAGCGTTAAAATCTTTGGTTTTCTAAAATAAGTTCACCATAAGAATATAAACTAGTTCATGAGCTTTTCAAGATTATAAAATATTTTTTTAAAAAGATTATAAATATTATAACTGCCTTTTTATTCTCATAAAACGGTATTTAATTAATATTTTGTACATCATTACCCAAGTAAAACGCTCCCATATGACATTAAGAGACTTAGAGAGCATTTTTATTGGAGAATTTTATAAAGTATCTCAACAATAAAAACACATAGGTTGATATAGTACTTCCATACCGTAATAACAAACATAAGAAAATTTCAGGGTTAGTTTAATTAATTAGGAGCTTGTGGCTCTCGCATACCATATCCATATATATAAGAAATTTTTTATTATCAATTATTAGAAAAGGTTTACAAGAGTATTTATGATATATACGGATAATCTCCAGAGTAGTCGACAGTTATCTAAATAAATAAATAAATATAAATATATATATATATATATATATATATATATATATACTAAATATATTTTTCACCAGGGTTAAAGCCTTATAGGTCGTGCGTTGTGTCCTCTTCTGAATTCTGAGCAGCGATCATGGCGACGATCACAACTATATCAACCTCCTTCTACAAATACCACGACCACTCCTCTTCAAGATCTCTTTTACCAATCTCTAAACTTCATTTGCCCTTAAACCCTCCGAAACCCTCCTACATCCGTTGCCGTAACAAACACGGTACTCTCTTCTGCTCAGCAACTCTCAACTCAGCCGCTGACAATAACATCCACCGACATGACCCCAAGAAACAGCGTAAGGGCACTGATATCCTCCTTGAAGCCCTTGAACGTCAAGGCATCGAAACCGTCTTCACATACCGTGGATGCGTATCCACGGAGATCCACCTCGCGCTCAAGCGCTCCTCTTCTATCCGTCACATCCTTTCCCGTAACGAAAAGAGTGCACTCTTTGCTGCTGAGGGTTACGCTCGTTCCTCTGGCAAAACGGGAGTGTGTATTATAACCGCCTCCGACAAAGTAGCTAATTGTCTAGCTGACACATGCGTCCCTCTTGTGGCTATAATAACCAGCAAAAGCCCTAGCGTCCGTAAGGACGAGATTATGACCATCAAAGACCCTTGGGTCCGTAAGGACGAGACGCCAATGGATTTAATGATGAAACATAGATATGTAGTGATGGATGCAAATGATATTCCTAAGATCATCAAAGAAGCTTTCGTTTTAGCTACTTCTGGTCGTCCGGGACTAGTTTTGATTGATTTTCCTGAAGATATTCAGACATATTATGCTGTTCCCATCTGGGAGTCTTACTGGGAGCAGACTATTAGGTTGATAAAGGAGTCTAAAAAACCTATGTTGTATGTTGGAGATGGCTGTCTGAATTCCATCGATGAATTGAATAGATTTGTTCAACTTACTGGAATCCCTGTCACGAGTGCAATGATGGGGCTTGGATCTTACCCTTCCAACGATGAGTTCTCGTTGCAAACATTTGGAATGCAAAGGACAGTGTACGCAAATCACGCTTTGAAAACATGCGATCTTTTGCTAGCTTTTGGGGTTGGTTCAGACGAGCCTTTACCTAGCGATGCTAAAATTGTTCATATCGACATTGACGCATTACCAGACACGGGGAGACCTCTTATACCAGTTCCTGTTGATGTCAAGAGTGCTTTGCAAGAGATGAACAAGATTCTTGAGAAACAAGCCGATGAGCTCAAGCTTGATTTTAATCTCTGGAGGGTTGAGTTGGAACAGTTTAAGCAACAAACACCGTTGGCTTTCAAGGCGCCAGAAGTGGCCATCCCTCCACAGTATGTGATTCAAGTCCTTAACGAGCTAACAGATGGGAACGCCTTTATAAGCACCGGTGTTGGGCAACAACAGATGTGGGCTGCTCAGTATTATAACTGTAAGAAACCCATGCACTGGCTAGCATCAAGAGGCTTCGAAGCAATGGGTTTTGGTCTCTCTGCTGCCATTGGAGCGTCTGTTGCAAACCCTAGTGAGGTTGTTGTGTATATTGACGGAGGCAGGAGCTTCCTAAAGAATGTGCCAGACTTGACTACTATTGGGATAGAGAATCTTCCTGTTAAGATGCTTATACTAAACGACAAGAACCTTGGTGTGAAGGCGACATTAATACCAAGTATGCTCAAGCTTGCAGAAGTTTGTAAGATTCCGGGGAGGAGTGTGTCGAGGAGAGAAGAAGTCCGAGAGGCTATACAGACAATGCTGGACACACCTGGTCCATATATGTTGGATCTGATAGTTCCACGTGAGAGAGAGAGTGCATGATGAAATTACTAAAGCGATCAAATGGGGGTGGTGATTATCTTACTTTGTGACTTGGTATATTTACAAAGTAAATATATTATAGTTTTAGTGTTAGATAATTTATATAATTTATTTTAGATAATATTATATTATTTAATTACTCATGTAATTTTAGATATATAATATTTAGTCGGTTTAGTTATTGTTTGGATGTATTATATTGCATTTAATTCTCTGAATTCAACTATAATTTTTTTTTTGGTTTAGACATATAATTTTTTTTTTTTTTTTTTTTGCATTTAAGTTTATTGTTATCTTAAATAATGAACTTATGTATAACTTCATTTTTTTGAAAATTAAATAGAAAATAACTAAAACTGATTGATTCAAAATTACATTTAACAATAATATGTTGAAATTTATTTTAAATAATATTAAACATAATAGTTAAATTTGGTTGGGTATTTTTATTATGAGTATATTAAATTGTAAAAATATAGAGAAAACTAAATTATAATCAAAGGCAATATTAAGCAAAAACAAGGATTTTTCAAGTATAATAATTTAGTTTAATAAAAGTGTTTGGACCATGCGCATCAATGAACCCGCTTTGGAGTTCATGATTTTAATTTTTTATTATTATTATTTTTCGTTTGATTTTAGAAAGAAAAAACAAATGGACCAATAGCGGGCCACCACGTGACGTGGGGCCTACAAAACAGTCATGAACCGGATTCATCCGGAGCAAGCGTTGCGAGCCGAGTTCATCAAAAGTAATTCTTATAATATTTTTTTATGTGAAAATGTGTGAACATGTGGCATAAAGTCTTGATGTGCATGCCCTTAGAGTTATGTTAGTTAAAAATCTTTTTGCCTGATCAAAAAAAAGTTTATAGTAAAGAATTATGTTTAGTTTCCTTTTCTAATATATATTCTATTGCTTAAATATTTAATATTATTAAAATAAATACTAATTTTGTGATAGTTTTTTAAAAAAAAATCATGTTATATAAGTAAATTATTTTAAAAATGAAACATAATAATTATATTCTCTTCGGTATTTTTATTGTGTGTATATTAGACTGTACAAGTACAAAAAAATAAAAATAAAAGCAAAGTAAATATTAAGCAAAAACAAGGATTTTTCAATATAGTAAAGTATAACAATTTAGTTTTGAAAAGTTAAAAAAGCTAATTTAAAATTTAATTGAAAATAGTAAATAAACAAGCTAATATTTGCAATTATATATAATACTTTAAATTTTTTAAAGAGTAACTATGTAATTGATCGTCATAAAAATTGATATGAACGCGACACATAACAAATTTATTTGTTAAATAATATTCAAAATCAAAATCCATCTTCTAATAAAATGATTAAGAACATAATCAAATAGTATTGNATAATACTTTAAATTTTTTAAAGAGTAACTATGTAATTGATCGTCATAAAAATTGATATGAACGCGACACATAACAAATTTATTTGTTAAATAATATTCAAAATCAAAATCCATCTTCTAATAAAATGATTAAGAACATAATCAAATAGTATTGAACTTAACTGTATGAGCAATGTTTACTTGGTTGAAATGATTTTAGCCCTGTTCGTTTGGTTGCCGCAGGTTTCTGCGGCTGCGTCTGCGGCTGCGTCTGTTCATTTGGTTGTTGTTCGTTTCGTAGACGCAGTCGCAGACGCAGACTCAGCCACAGCCGCTGGTTGTTTTTCGTTTCGTAGCCGCAAGTGATTAACGCAGACGCCAGACGCAGCCGCAGGAATATAATTTATGTGTTCGTTTGACAGACGCTGCGGCTATTTTCATTTAATTCTTATTTTAATTTTAAAAATTTTTAAAATCATATTTTAATAAATAAAATAGATTTTAAATTTGTTAAAATTTATTTTAATTAAATAAAATGCAGTTTAAATATATTTACATCCATCAAGATATTATATTCAATTGGTAATAAAATTTTAGTCAAATATATAAATTTAACAACATTTTTTATTTTTAATTGGTAATAAATTTTTAATTAAATATATAAATTTAACAACATTTTTTATCATAAATTGTTGTTATAAATATTTGCACCATGCATGAACAGAAAAAAAAACTAATTACTAATATATTTTTATTAATTTTTCTCTTAGATATTTTGTCATTTAATTATAAGTAAATTTAACATTTTCACAAGTATGGATAAATTATCTTTATATTATATTAACATCTAAATTTATAATCTAAACATTTATTTATATAATCTATATTTCTAAAAGCATTGATTAACACAAAACACAAGAAAACAAAATTTTAGCTAGCTTCTAATTTATAATATACACAAAAAAACTGCAAGCACTCGTCATCAAGTCTCTTTGTCTATTAACTTTCCAAATGATTCCTCTTGTAAAACCATTAAAACATTATCTTCCTTGAGTACAACCCACTGAAAAGGAAGAAATAAACAAAAAGAAAAACTAGAGAACCATGACTGTTCTTCACTTCAGTTCTTTGGCAATTTCTCGACTCCATGTCCTGCATTCTTGTTCGGACAACACTAGGCACCAGTACTGCAAACAAGTATGCATATCAACTAATGATATATCCGTAGAGTACATATGAAGACATGTGATAAGAATGAGAGAAAGAGGGCCATACTAGCAGCAGTGCCGAGAGTCCAGACCCGGAGGATCTTCAAGCCAGGACTCTTTTCTCTTCCCATTTACAATCACTGCATCACACATTCATTCCAACTTGACAAAAATTCTTGAACTGAACCAACCGAAACTAAACAAGAACAAGCATTCATAAACTAGTCAGAACAAGGTTGATAAGACATCATTTCAACTCGTTAATGGGAAAGAATATAACGTAGAGAGTCTAGAAAGATGCAAAAACTTCTCACTCACCAAAACTCAAGAGAGTAAAGAAACCCATCAAACCCACCTGAGACCTGAGCTTTAAGAGGGTCTGAGCTTTAAGAGAGTCTGATATGAGAGAGCCTGAGACATGAAAAAAAAACAGAAAGAATCATGATACAAACTAAACTAACAGAGGAAGATCCAAAAGAATTAAAGCACCTATTAAAGTGATCACAAAAGCTAAGAAAATAACTACTAGTGGATACTAAAGCATAAAGCTAGACAAGAGTAGAACATCAACAGCATCAATCAATACTTAAAAGTTTAAATTGTACATTCAACAGCAACTTCAGATTCTCTACTAAGTAGTCTGGATTCAGAACTTCAAGTAAACCATCAATGAGAGCGAGAGCACAGTTACCTCAAAGAGAGAGAGCTCGAGATGGGTTTGGGGTTTGCTCCAGAGAAGAGAGATAGCTCGAGATGGGTTTGGGGTTTGCTCCAGAGAAGAGAGAGAGATCGAGGCTGCTTTGAACGGAAAAGAGAGAGCTGCGCCGGAGATCGAGAGAGAGCTATGTTGGACATGGAGAGAGAGCTCGAGGCTACGTCGATGGGAGAAGAGAGAGCTGCGTCCATGGGAGTAGAGAGCTGGAGATCGAAAAAGAGCTCGAGGAGGCTGAATCGGAGAAGAGAGAGCTGCGTCGATGGGAAGAGAAGACTGCGTCTGCGTCTATTAGGTTAGGTATTTTTGTAATTAATGAATTAGGTTAAGGGTAAAACAGTAAATAGATTAAGTAGACGCAGAATTTAAGTCACGACCGCTAATTTTTTCTGCGTCTGACGCTGGACGCTGCGTTTAGACGCAGACGCAGACGCAGGTATCTGCGTCAATGAAACGAACAAGATTATACAGAAATCATAGCCGCAGACGCAGACGCCAAACCTGCGTCGACGAAACGAACAGTAACTATGTAATTGAAAATTAATTGAAAATAGTAAATAAACAAGCTAATATTTGCAATTATATATAATACTTTAAATTTTTTAAAGAGTAACTATGTAATTGATCGTCATAAAAATTGATATGAACGCGACACATAACAAATTTATTTGTTAAATAATATTCAAAATCAAAATCCATCTTCTAATAAAATGATTAAGAACATAATCAAATAGTATTGNATAATACTTTAAATTTTTTAAAGAGTAACTATGTAATTGATCGTCATAAAAATTGATATGAACGCGACACATAACAAATTTATTTGTTAAATAATATTCAAAATCAAAATCCATCTTCTAATAAAATGATTAAGAACATAATCAAATAGTATTGAACTTAACTGTATGAGCAATGTTTACTTGGTTGAAATGATTTTAGGATAAGAACCACTCGAGTGTTGGACTGGTGTAACTTCAGATAGTTTACACGAGAATGTTTCTTAACCTCTCAAAGCTTATCTTCACTAGCAGTAAACGACACGGTAACTATATGAATGGACACTGACATATGTTTCTGGGGTCAATAAGCCTTTAAGTTATGTTTGTTTCTTCGTCTTAATGCACAGATTTTAATAATCAAGCAAAAACAGAACACAAAATAGAGGACAACGAATGTCGATTATTCTGCATTTCTTTTCGTTTCTGCTTTTCTCGTTAATATTCGTGAGTAAAACCAAAGAATCGAAGCAAAATCTTCCTCCAAGCCCAACAAAGCTCCCGATCATCGGAAACCTACACCAACTTCGAGGATTGCTTCACAGATGTCTTCATGACATCTCCAAGAAACATGGACCCGTGTTACTTCTCAAGCTAGGTTTTATCCAATTGGCTGTAATCTCATCGAGCGAAGCAGCTGAAGAAGCTCTTAAAACACATGACTTCGAGTGTTGTACCAGACCTAAGACTAACGCCTCATCGACATTCTCGCGTGATTGTCAGAACATTGCCTTTGCACCATATGGTGAGGTGTGGAGAGAGCTACGTAAGCTTTCTGTTCTCCACTTTTTCAGCGCGAAGAATGTTCGATCTTTCAGGTACATTAGAGAGGAAGAGAATGACTTGATGGTCAAGAAACTGAAGGAACTGGCTCAAAAAAACTCTCCAGTGGATTTGAGCCAAACACTTTTCTGTCTAGCCGGAAGTATCATATTCAGATCTG